GACATTCTTGGAGTTTTATAAAACACAGGAGTTGTATACTCAACAAAAGCAATCTTCAAAATAGTCACACAAAAAATATTGTAACTTCCCACAAGGTATTCTGCAATCATTAATAATTTGGTTATTCTTTCATTACAAAGCCTTTATTTCTTTGTCAGAGGCCTCAGTCCCAAAAGGAAGAAGAGATAAATGACTATACATCGTGCTGTGTTGTAGAAGTATAAACAAGTATGTGGACAGTCCAAAAGATAGTAGCACCCCTGTCACCTGGAGGATTCAGGAGCAATAGAGCCATGGTCGTTTATTTGTTCACTGTTTTTAGTTTGCAGTCCTAAAGGGAGAAAAACAGTGACAATGGAGAGAAGGAAGATGCAAGAGAAAAGTGGAGGGACCAGAGGCGAGAAAAATTCATTTCTTCCCCTGCCTCAAAAATTAGGGAGAAAAAAGAAAAGGGAAGTTTTGAGGTTGAGGAAGGAAAGTTGAGGGAATTCTTCCTGGTATAAACGTTCTCAGTAAAGCAGGTAGATGTTGGCTGATGTGACGAGGGCCGAATTTGGAATCTTGGGAGAAGAAAGGGTCTGGAGTAGCCTGTGGGAAAATGGAATCCAGTGGGCATGGATGGAAGCATGGATCAGTGGTAATGAGCACCCATGCAAGAGGAGAGAGCTGGAATAGAGCCTGTCCTCGTAGTGAGGTGGTTTTTCCCTTCCATGTTGTCAAGACTAAGAACCGAGGAGAGTGTTGGTTGTGGCCTAAACTGTGAATTGGCGAGGCAGGAAAGCATGGCAGGAGGTCTAGGGGCTAAGAGCTTCTAAAGAGCTCTTGGCTGTGGGCAGGGCTTAGGGGAGGGGGAGCTGAGCTGAAGGATTGACTGGAGTGTCCATATGGGTAAGGGACACTTACCCATGTGGGTAAGGGAAAGCACACAAATCCTACTTTCCCTCCCTCACCTGTATGGCTGCCGAGTAAGGTACCTGGACCCTTGCCTTGCCCCTCGCCTATCTGTGTCCCCAAATTGCCTTTACTTCACACCAGCCATGGTTATGGCAACACACACTCCTGTTCTTTCAGCCCACAAATAAGACTGTGTAGAATAAGGAGATATTACAGAGCTTTCATTTTGTTCTACTCTGTGGTCCTTTATCCTTTTTCTGATTTAGCTTCTCATTTATATATTTTCACTTTCACATGTCACTAAGTTTAAATGTTTAAACATTTCCCCCTCCAGTAGCCAAAAAGAAAACAAAGCAACAGCTAATATACTAATAAATTTATTTCTAGCTACAGGAGATAAGCTTCAGTGCAATGTGGCCATAAAGTATGGCTCCCAGGCTTAGGGGAGAAGCAATAAACTTTCATAAATAAAATAATTTTAAAATACTCCTGGCAGTATAAATAAGAGTAAAATATAACATGTAACAGCCAACAACAGAGCTCCTTACAAAAGAAAGCTATAAACTAAAATAAGGAAATGTTTGCAGCTTTTTGTTGTCGCCCTACACTCTAGGTGGGCCGCCTGGAGAATTCACAGTGGGAAGTTTTTGACTCACCTTCTGAAATGTTGCCCCTATTACATGTCCTGACACCTTTTGATTTGCTGAAGATCTGTGATAATCACCAAGGAAACCCATTGGGTACTAATGCTACAAATAAGACAGTTCTCAACACATTTCAAGGTGTCAGAGAACACTTTTCAAAAGGAGAGAGAGTAGGAGGATGCACCGGACCGCGTCCCATGGCTTCAGTTAATGCGGGAGCTTACAAGGCTCAGGGCTCACTTGACTTTCAGTCTTGCTCTGCCGCTGATCTTTAAGGAAATGTGGAGTTCTCCTGGGCTCTACCTCAGCTTTCATTTGGGTTTTCAGCCCGGGAGTCACATGGGCAAAAGCATAAAAAATACAATGGCATTTTAGTGATCAGTGCCTTGGTTTGAAAGACTGTTGAAGTGATGGATTGTTCTCTAAAAAATTAAGGAGCAAGCAAGACAAGATATCCCTCTGTCCCTCTCTTCCTCTCTCTGTTTCTCTCTCTCTCTCTCTCTCTCTCTCTCTCTCTCTCTCTCTCTCTCTCTCACACACACACACACACACACACACACATGCATGCACACGCTCACTCACTCTCAAACCAGAAGTGATAAAAGACAGGGAATTGAAGAGCTGCCAGTAGAATGAAATCAGAATTTATCAGTGCTTTCATTCAATACATTGGCAATTCCCAACCATTTGTAATCATGGGCAATATGTTTGCTGCTGAGAAATGGGTTGAACGTACTCTCTCCCTTCAAGGAACTGAAGACTTTGCTGGCCTAGAGTGAGTTACACTTGGTCACATGGGCTGAGTCTGGGAGGGCTTAGTGGATAAACTTGGTTTAGAAGGTGATAGACTAACCTCTGAAGGGAAGGGCATTCCAAAGACGGCATGAAGGGGTCAAGACTGTGAAGGGAAATATGAATGAAAATTAGTTGGGCCTAGATTTCAGAGATTTCTTAAATGCCGATTTAAGAGTTTGGACTTTATCGTGTAAACAGTAGGAAGCCATAGAAAAATTTCAGAGCAAGAGATGTGGTTTGTGTTTTACATTTGTTTTATAAAGAGAAATCTCTGTTGGCAGTAAAGACGAGATGAGAGACAGATGATGAGAGCTCTAGGGAAACAACAGAGGGAATGATGTGGGCATTCCATTTATAAGTTGCTATGCCTGGTACTGTCTCAAGTTGGGGTGGGGTTTTTTTTTAATTCTTTTTTTTTTTACTATTTATTTATTTACTTATTTATTTATTTTTGCTGGATTATATGGAGAAAGGCAAGCTAGCACAGAACTTTTTTAATTCTGAGTTTGGGGGCGCCTGGGTGGCGCAGTCGGTTAAGCGTCCGACTTCAGCCAGGTCACAATCCCGCGGTCCGTGAGTTCGAGCCCCGCGTCAGGCTCTGGGCTGAAAGCTCAGAGCCTGGAGCCTGTTTCCGATTCTGTGTCTCCCTCTCTCTCTGCCCCTCCCCCGTTCATGCTCTGTCTCTCTCTGTCCCAAAAATAAATAAACATTGGAAAAAAAAAATTTTTTTTTTTTAAATAATTCTCAGTTTGATTTCACCCATTAGTAGCCAAGTGTTCATGGGCAAGGAAGTTAAATTCTGTCTCCTGTTTCTCATCTGCAGAATGGGGGTAGCAATGATGCCTTCTGCAAAGGGTTATAACAAGTATTTACTAAATGTATACATATGCATAGCCCTTAGAACCTTGTATGTGCTATGTGCTAAGTATTTTATTTTTATCTTTTTTCTCAGTTCATTCATTTACTTGCTCGTTTAGTCTTTGTTAATTTGTTTTTAAGGCAATCTAGAGTAATCTATATTGTCATTAGTAAATTTTGTTTGCAGAATTTTTCTGAAATTTTCACCTTCTTTTCTCAAGTGCTCTTGGACCAAATTTTTTTAGCAGGAAATAAGGAGGATAAAGCCTGTAAATTCGAACAGCTACTTCCCCTGGATGTGAAGTATAAACAACATTTTTGTAGAGAATGCTGCTGCATGGTGGTCCTTAGTGTCACTGTAGATCATGAGGAACAGGGGAGACGTTAAGTGAAGTTCCAGTATTGGGAAATTTGGGCAGGCTTACTTTACGGCACAATGTGGTTATATTATTCTGATAAACAGATTTTGAAATCCCAGAACACAGTGTGAACTACATTCAAATATGAATGCAGAAACACCTTCAAAAATCTCCAATAAACATTTTAATTCCCTATGTCTTTACTTCCCTGTTTGTGAGTGCAACTGAAAAAACAGTGCCACATTCTTAAATTGGAACAATAATTATGTCCCATGAATGCAATAAAAATTATAAGTACTTTTATTAAAGGTAGACTTTATTTTATATATATGTATATATGTATACATAATAATATATATGTATACATATACGTATATATGTGTATACATACATATATACATATATGTATATATATACATAGTAAGTACAAATATATATATACATATATATTTATTGTATTTATTATATAAATAACTGCAGGCTAGCATTCTGAACAACTCCAGTAGTAGAGGAATTGTTCCTTATATTTCCTTGTGCAGAGACAGTGTTCTGTTTCTTCTCAGTGTCCGGACTCTTGTAAAACAGAAAGCCGGCCCCATTAGGTTATAGGAAGAGTCTATAGGATTTGGGGCGGGGGGGGGGGGGGGGGGGGGGGGGGGGGGGGGGGGGGGGCGTGGCAGGGAAGCTAAATATCTTGAAACTTTTTGCCTTTGAAGAGCTGAGAAAGCAGTTCTTGACGAGGGAGATAAATACAACTCCTCTGTATTGTTGAGGTGAACAAAGCTTTCCTTGATACTAAAGGTTTTTAATACTCTTTATTGATGGGAGGCGTTCTTTTATTTGATCCATCAAGATTACCAAGCCACATGTTCCCATCCCTAACTGAAATACGGCATCATGAAATCATGATTAAAGTTATAGAAACCAATTTGTGAAGCGGCAAGAGATGACAGATACTTCATTTCCCCTCTTGGTTACTGGGAATTAAGTTTCAGTAGCATTGAGGAATTCTGAAAAAATAACTGTAAGTTATTTAAATTATATTCTTCACCTTTTCCCTTGGATTCATGGCTAAGCAATTTTGACTAGTTCATAAATTAGGACAGTGTTGTTGTTTTGTAATAAGATAATTTAGTGAAAATATTTTTGCAGGACTGTGATTTGTGTGGTTAGAATAATGAGCAAAGATTGCAGAGGAATCAGTGATTTGTAATCCCAACCCTGGTAGGCACAGATGTGTGACTTTAATGGAGTAATTTATTTTTTCTGATAACATTTGTCCAATCTCCTTTGAGGAGCTTTTGTGAGAATAAAATGAGTGGAGTTATGGGAAAGCAATTTAAAACAGAAAAGCACTAAAAATAACGAAATGTAGTTGCTGAACATCCTGAAGGCATCTTAGTAGAACAAATGGGAGTAAAATGTTGAGAGCGTTTGTTTGATTTTACAGGCAACAAGGGAAACTCTCAGTCGCCACTGCACTACCCTTGGTGATGCTCTTCGAAAAGAGAATGATTTTGCTCTTATAATTGATGGGAAAACCCTCAAGTATGCCTTAACTTTTGGAGTAAGACAGTATTTCCTGGACTTGGCTTTGTCATGCAAAGCTGTTATTTGCTGCAGGTAAGTTCTCCTTAATATTGTCAGATTTCAGTAAAGAGCACCTTGCTCCTAAGTTCTTAATTTTTGAACTTCCAGATTCTATCCAGAATTTGTAAATGTCAGGTTATTTGTTATTTCACTCACTCAAGACTGAAGGTTTACAACCTGGAATAGAATTTAGTAGCAGAGTCTTAGTGATCATTAGTAATTATTTTTCATAATTTGAATCAACAAGTTTATTGCCATCTCCTGTGTTCAAAATCAGTTATTTACCTACATTTCCATGTTTGGTAATTTCTGTAAATGTTCTCTTTTCTACACATCAATCTTAGATCCTGCTTCAAGGACTTAACTTTAGGAAATGGCAGGATGGGAGGTGCTTGGTCATTTTCCTCAAGACTGTTTCTTGACTGTACATTCCTCTTTCCTGTAATTTATGATATTGCCCATTTCCTAAATTAGAATCTGTTTTGAGTTATCAAGGCTTGAATCCATAGAACTACATTTTTGTAAACTGTTCACTCCAGTCCTTCCCAAACTTCTTGTCAAAAAATCTTCCCCATATCTTTGTCTTCATTGTTCCCCTATATCCTAAAATTTAAAGTGTATTGATGGGGCACCTGGTGGCTCAGTCGGCTAAGTGTCTGCCTTTGGCTCAGTTCATGATCTTTTGGCTCTTGAGTTTGAGCCCCGCATCAGGCTCTGTGCTGACAGCGCAGAACCTGCTTGGGATTCTC